ATGAAACAAAGACTGTTCAATGGAGAATTAAATTCCCCATCCATCAATCTCCGTTTCATCCCTTAATGTCTGCAATAAAAAAATTAATATTGCGACGAAAGTCACGGCGCTATAAGAAACCTGATGTTTTCTCGGCGCATTGTGACTCCCCATTAATTCGCCCGATAATTAAAAAATCGTCTCTCCCCTTCTAATTAACATTAAGGAATGAAACCAATGCTGTTCGATGGAGAATTAAATTCCCCATCCTTCAACCCCCGTTTCATTCCTTAATCTCTGTAATAAAAAAATAAAAACTGCGACGAAAGTCGCGGCGCTATGAAAAACTCAATGGTTTCTCGGCGCAGTGACTCCCGACAACTCGCCCGCTAATTAAAAAATCGTATCTCTGCTCCTAATTAACATTAAGGAATGAAACCAATGCTGTTCGATGGAGAATTAAATTCCCCACCCAACAACCCTCGTTTCATCCCTTAATCTCTCTAATGAAAAAATTATAACTGCGACGAAAGTCGCGGCGCTATGAAAAACTCAATGGTTTCTCGGCGCAGAGCGCTTCCCCATTAATTCGTCCGCTAATTAAAAAATCGTCTCTTTTCTCCTAATTAATATTAAGGAATGAAACCAATGCTGTTCAATGGTGAATTAAATTCGCCATCCTTCAACCCCCGTTTCATTCCTTAATCTCTGTAATAAAAAAATGAAAACTGCGACGAAATTCGCGGCGCTATGAAAAACCCAATGTTTTCTCGGCGCAGTGACTCCCGACAACTCGCCCGCTAATTAAAAAATCTTATCTCTGCTCCTAATTAACATTAACCCTTCAATACACGCGCTATAATCGCCGCGCCGCCTTTTTCAAATTTTCGCTTGCCTCTTGCAAAATTGAGCTTTCAAAAAATTGAAAAAATTAGAATGCCTAGCTTGAATCATTTAGAATGGATTAGCAAGGTTCTTATCCGCTGAAAATCCATCAAGGCTACGAAAAATAATAAATTGTTGAGGCTCATACGCAAAAGCGGCGCCGTGCCGCCCAGCGCGACTAACGAAGGATGTAAAATTTTCAATTCCGCTGTTGCTGTTTCCCGCTCGCCGCATGCTCGGCGCGTACCTATGAACGTGACAACGCTGCGTTATTGAAAGCACGGGCGGCGCAGCGCTCACCACGCGAGTAACGAAGGCCGGTGGCTGAGCGCGAGTTCTGAAGGGTTAAGGAATAACCATAAGTTTCTTTTTTCATGCAAAACTGTAACGATTTTTCTCTCCGTATTTAAAAGGCTCAACTATTTATTTTGAATTTTATGCGTATTTGCATTTTATTTTGAGTCGAGTCTTTTTCCGGGAATTCGTGGAGTCTTCGAAGCTATCAACAACAAAAATCGCCTTTAAAGGCCTACGAAGGCATTTGTTCTCAGATGGCTTTTGGCTTCGACGAGAACAACATAAATCAAAACGGTCGATTCGATTTCGTTTTCCGTGCTTTTCTCGATAACAGAACGGTTTTTGCGGGCTTGTGTGATTGTATTAATCTTCCCCATTAGTAAGTATAATAGTGTTTTACGTTGTAAATGTTTAGTGCAAGGATAGATTGACAACAGTGCAAGAAGATTTGTTTTATTGACAAAATAAGGGAGGGACGGGTGCATGGGTAATTAAGTGCATGAATTGCGTAACAATGCCGGTTAAGAATAAATGCGCTTACTCGGGGTGCAAGAACACTTCCACACAAAATAAGAATGTGACGTTCCATCGTGTTAGGTAAGTTTTTCTCAAGATTTAAATTGGTTATTGTGACATCACCGGATATTTGAAATTAAATGGTAATAATACGAAATTAATTGATTTCACGCAATTGTAATGGCTTTAATGAACTAATATCACTGGAAAAATTTTCTCCATAAGACAGAGGGGGAAAGTTATTACAGGCTGTGCGTTTTTTTTCCTAATAAAGAAAAATTTGTAAGGGTATCCAAATACTTTGGCTATTTTGTCTCCAGTGAAATGCTTTTCTACTTTTGTAGTCGAACATCAGAACTTTCATTTAAGCTCGATTTGACCCTAAGTTTCCGGAAATTTTACAATCATTTGTTTTTTGAACTCTGCAGGTTTTATTTTGAAGTTCGATATTTAATCGTTAGAACACACTTAAACAATCTGAAATAAAATGAGAAAGTTTATTTTTGTGGGTAGATTGATGAAATAATTTAAATATCGTTTTTTTTAATTAATTACCAGCATTTTCAATTAATGATTTATAAGTAATCAATTTTCCACTATAAAAATCATTTGTTTGGAATCGTAACGAAGTTATTCATCTTCAGAATTTTACCGTAAATCAATTACATATCTGACAAAATAGGGTTTCCGAAAGTTTAAACAACTTCACTTATTTATTAATAAACAACGAATGCTTGACAAAATAATAATTTCGGGCAAAAAGTAATTTGAATGACGCTGAATATTCATGATTTATTTTCAAATTTTTCTCATGCAATTCAACTGACAAACTTGATGATTGCAAATAGCTGAATCTATAGTGTGGTTTGTATCAAACTGTAAAAGATACTTAAATATCATTAATGGTTTCAAGTATAAAATCAGTGGAATCACAGGAGTCAATAGAGTGAGACGAAAAAAAGTGGCCCTAAGGATCAAATAGAGGAGACGAGTGAAGTGAAGACAACTATAAACTAAGGGAGACCAGAGCGATGAGAAGGGTTAAATGAATCCCAATTATCCCATTTTTTCAATTATTTCTCTTACGTTCGTCTCCAAGACCAATTTTTTTGATAAATATTACGCAGCGAAATCGCCAGTACCCATTTGATTTGGGGAAAATTGATTGTTATTTTACTTCAATTTTATCATTATGCTTATTTAATTTAGGGGCAGGGGGGGAGGAGGGCATCACACCGCTTTTTCAAGTATCACAAGTTTTTGATGAAAACTTTTGGCAATTTTTTGCAATTGCTTTTCTACACGGAGAGAAAATATAAGAATTTTTGTAGTGAAATTCTTAGAAAAATTCTGGTGCTGCCCCATAATCGGGGGAAAAAATCTCTGGACTCATAAAATATATCGCATAGCCTACGAAAAGTTCTAGGAGAGCACATGAAAAATTGTAGGGCGAGCGCATTAATACGATAATACAGAAAATGCTGTTGTCGAAATTTCAAATAAGGTTTTAAAAATAAAAGAGGTTCGAAACTTATTCCCTTGGGGATGATTTTACAATGGNTGTCTCCAGTGAAATGCTTTTCTACTTTTGTAGTCGAACATCAGAACTTTCATTTAAGCTCGATTTGACCCTAAGTTTCCGGAAATTTTACAATCATTTGTTTTTTGAACTCTGCAGGTTTTATTTTGAAGTTCGATATTTAATCGTTAGAACACACTTAAACAATCTGAAATAAAATGAGAAAGTTTATTTTTGTGGGTAGATTGATGAAATAATTTAAATATCGTTTTTTTTAATTAATTACCAGCATTTTCAATTAATGATTTATAAGTAATCAATTTTCCACTA